GGGGTTGCCTATATGGCGGGCGCTTTGCCGCTATGCGTCTAATCAGATTTGGATTTTGGCTCTAGGAGCTACTTTATATTAGGATGTGACGTTCTGTGTATTTAACAACGTTATTTTTCCCCCCAGTAACTAGTTTTTACAATTTTATGTTCCTATTGAGTTATGCAGTAGCAGTATATTAGTTATACTACCTAATTTGTCATTTTTATAAAACACGGGTGAAATTCAGTAAATAAAATAGATGCTGAATTATTATCCAACTATGTACTTTATTGTTCACAAAGTGAAACACCTCTTTTTAACAATGGAGGTCAGCTCCGCAATGATCCTTTCTTGGTTCTGGATGACCTGGAATGAGATGCAGATGGTGGGTGCTCACAAGTTTACACGCATACCCTTCAAGTTGGTAAATTTTCAAAAAATTTAGGCCATGTAGTGTACCTTGCGAAGATTGATAACTGAAGTTTGAAGTTCTAGTAGCAGAGCACCACTGTCACCTGACGCAATTGATTGATTCGATTCATTACAAAGTGGAGCTGATTCCTCATCCTATAAAGGAAGGTAAAAGGTTACTACGATACCTCAGAGCGAAAACCGCTCAGTCTACCGAAGCGCTCCGACAACCGCTTAGTCTGCCAAGCGGTTTGGACAACCGCTCATTCCGTGAAGGCGCTTCGACAACCGCTCAGTCAGCCGACCCGCCTCAACAACCGCTCAAATGACTTTTTTGACATTTTTCATGTTTTGACCGATTCCGACAAATTAGACCATGCTCTTTACGATGATGCAATCCAAAAACTGTCGTCAAAAAAGTCATTTGAGCGGTTGTTCAAGCGGTTCGGCTGACTGAGCGGTTGTCGAAGCGCCCTCACGGAATGAGCGGTTTGTCCAAACCGCTCGGCAGACTAAGCGGTTGTCAGAGCGCTTCGGTAGACTGAGCGGTTTTCGCTCTGAGGTATCGTACAATTACAATGATTCAAAGCTGTGACGCTCGGATTTTGAGGAGGTCGGGTTTGCCTCAGGGCCGGACCCGCCCCTGGCGTTGGGGAGTCGCGGACGCGTGGCTCGTCATTTTTCGCCATTCGTAATTTCAAATCTGCGCGCGTTTACCACCCGTGCGGCGGCGGCCGGCCGGCGCTGCCGTGCAGCAGACGATGCGGTCAGGTGAGCGGCTGGACCAATGGGAGCGAAGGGAGTGCGAGAGAGAGCGATCGAGCCGGAGCGAGCCGCGCGGCGTCTCGGTCACTTGGCCGGCGGGGCGTTGTGTCGTTAGCGGACATGACCTGGGCGCCGAGGGTCAGGATGGACGTTAGCGGACATGCGGTACCTGGACGGTCGGTTCG